TCAACATGCAAAAATGACCATGTGTGGGAGGGCTGAGGCGGGACACATACCTGTGTACCTATTTCTCTTTTCCTGGACTATTTTCCTTGCTAAATTGGAAGAGCTTTCAGGCAATTGCTTTTCCAAAGCGAACCACCTTCTACATAAACAATTTGTTTACAATATAAGAAATGTATTTCTAATGTTTTGAGTGTTCACAGAATTACACTGGCACTTGAGAAGGAGGAAAGTTGGTCAACGGATTTAGTAAACTTTCCAATCAAGTAAACTCTCAAAGACTTTTAAAAAATCAATCAATTCCATGACCTAATTAGCTCTCCTGTGGAGCCCAGGTAGAGTTGCCTCATCCTGAGCAGCTGGTACCTGAGCTGCACTCATATGGGACACTGCTCACATGTGCCCCCTACTGGTCAGGTGCCAAGTGCACTGGGCAGAAACCAATGACTGCATTAAAGCAGGGGGAGGAGCAAGTAGCTCTAGAAAGTTCTAGAATCCCTTGGCCATCTCTGTATGCTATATTCATTCAGCCTAGGTGGTAGAAATTGAAATTGAATTAGCTGTAGGCAATGTAAGACGTTTTGTTATTATGACTTGTATGGGTTACAGAGATGGAATGATCCATGCCTGACTTCACTCTTTTTTCCCCTTCCCTAGTTACATCTCATTTAATTTAATAAGATCAGATTGATCCAAGATGGCTGATCGCTAACAGCTTGGGATTGTAGCTCCCAGTGAAAGCGCAGAGAATGAGAGGACGCCACACTTTCAGATGAATTTTCGTCACTCACGGACCAGAAGATTCCCAGTGGAGGAGCCCCACGGGTTGCCAGCGTGACTCTTGTGGCCAGCGCAGCAGTTTTGCTGGTGCGTCGGCGAGGCAGCTCTTCGTGCAGAGTAAACGGGAGGAGATTCCTGGGCAGAAGAGCACCATCAGTCTTAACGCTGCTGTTTTGGCTGGTGTAGTGGGCTGCTCAGATTCCAGCACTGGGAATCAATAAACTGGATGTCCACTCAGAAACCTAACTAGAAAGGTGGTAATTGTGAAGACGACAGATGGATAAATTTATAACAAAGGGAAGAAACCAGCCTAAAAAGGCTGAGAATACCCAAAATGAGAACCCCTCTCCCTCTATAGGGGATTACAGTTCCTCATTAGCAACCGAACAAGCCCTGATGGAAAAGGACTGTGTGCCATTAACAGAAGAAGGATTCAGAAGGTGGATGATAAGAAACTTCTGGGAGTTAAAAGAACTTGTTCTAACCCAATGTAAAGAAACTAAGAACTTTGAAAAAAGGTTTGACGAAATGCTAACAAGAATAGACAATATAGAGGGGAATATAAATGAACTAATGGAGTTGAAAAACACAACATGAAAACTTAGCAAAATATGTGCAAGTCTGAATAGCCGAATTGATCAAGCAGAAGAAAGGATATCAGAGGTCGAAGTCCAACTTAATGAAATAAAACGAGAAGACAAGATTAGAGAAAAAATGATAAAAAGGAATGAGCAAAGTCTCCAACAAATATGGGACTATGTGAAAAGACCGAATTTACGTTTGATAGGTGTACCTGAATACGACAAAGAGAATGAATCCAAGCTGGAAAATACTCTTCAGGATATTCTTCAGGAAAACTTTCCCAATCTAGCAAAGCAGGACAATATTCAACCCCAGGCAATACAGGGAACACCACAAAGATATTCCTCAAGAAGAGCAACCCCAAGGCACATAATCGTTAGATTCACCAGGGTTGAAACGAAGGAAAAAATACTAAGGGCAGCCAGAGAGAAAGGTCAGGTTACCCACAAAGGGAAGCCTATTAGACTTACAGCAGATCTCTCAGTAGAAACCCTACAAGCCAAAAGAGAGTGGGGACCGATATTCAACATCCTTAAAGAACAGAACTTTCAGCCCAGAATTTCATATCCTGCCAAACTAAGCTTCACAATTGAAGGAAAAATAAAATCTTTTATGAACAAGCAAGTACTCAGAGATTTTATTACCACCAGGCCTGCTTTACAAGAGCTTCTGAAAGAAGCATTATACATAGAAAGGAACAACCAGTATTAGCCTTTCTAAAAATATACCCAAAAGTAAAAAGCATCAACATAAAGAAGAATTTACATCAATGAATGGATAAAATAACCAGTTAACATCAAATGGCTGCAACCCTAAATTTAAGTCGACTAAATCCCCCAATCAAAAGATACAGCCAAAACCCAACGGTATGCTACATCCAGACCCATTTCACATCCAAAGATACACAAAGACTCAAAACAAAGGGATGGAGAAAGATTTACCAACCAAATGGAGAGTAAAAATAAATAAATAAATAAAAAGCAGGAGTTGCAATTCTTGCCTCTGATAAAATAGACTTCAAAGCAACAAAGATATAGTGGTAAAAGGATCAACGCAACAATAAGAGCTAACGATCCTAACACCCAGATACATAAAACCCATAAAGAGATTTAGACTCAACGAGACAGAAAATTAATAAGGATATCCAGGACTTGAACTCACATCTGGAATGAGTAAACTTAATAAATATTTATAGAGCTCTCCATTTTTAAATACACAAAATATACATTCTCCATCTTTAATACACAAAATATTCATCGGCCATTATTAATACCCATTTTTAGAATAAAGCTAGATTCCTGTTCTCTCTCCCTCTTTTTCTTCCTCTTTCACTCTCCTTTTTCCTTCTTCCTTTTTCTTCTCCTTCATTCCCTTTTTTTTCTTTCTTTAAAAAAAAAAATAAGATCAAGATAGTTCCTTCAGGAGGTGGGCAAATTCCCCAAATTACCTAAAACCGATCACATTCAAAAAAACTACAATGTACTAAAGAAAGAGTATTTTGAGGATACACACCTTACATATTCATTTTCTTGACATTTACCTTATCATTTTGACCTTTCCCAAATTCAGAAAACCTTTGGTATCACTGTGGTCAGAGGGAAAGTCAAAGAGCAGGATGGAATTTTAAAAGGGTAGAAGAATAGGAAGATATTGGCTCTATTCTCTCTGCACCCCAACCTCAGCACAGGATTCTTGCAGCACCATCTCAGAGGGGCAGCCCTTGGTGAGAGGCACGTGACCTAGGCCTCCTTGCGAGGTACCTCTCCTTTCTTACTGGAGTGGGGTTCCCCTTTTCCACAGGCAGCTCCTTCTGCCACAGAGGGCTGAGCTGGGCTCTGATGGGTTTGGGGAGAGCTGCTCAGAGGCAAAGCTACCTACTCTCTAGGGGAAAGGGCAAAGTGGCCTTTAATATCTCTGTTCCTGTCACACCCAGAATCACCAAGACAGGCTGAAGCTGTCTTCTGCTGGGGCCATGCCCTGTGGGAGTGGATGGCATCAGGGAAGAGAGCAGGGAGCCCAGTGCTCAAGTGTAGGGTTTGGTCTTGTCTTAGAAGAGGTGGTTGAGCCAGGCACAGTGGCTCACACCTGTAATCCCAGCACTTTGGGAGGCTGAGGCAGGGGGATCACGAGGTCAGGAGTTGGAGACCAGCCTGACCAACATGGTGAAACCCTGTCTCTACTAAAAATACAAAAATTAGCCGGACGTGGTGGCACATGCCTGTAATCCCAGCTACTCAGGAGACTGAGGCTAGAGAATCGCTTGAACCCAGGCGGTGGAGGTTGCAGTGAGCTGAGATTGTGCCACTCACTGGGCGACAGAGGGAGACTCCATCTCAAAAAAAAAAAAAAAAAAAGAGGAGGTTAAGGAGAGATCAGGAGGAACGGCCCAATGTCACATATCGGGGAGAGGATCAGGAGGCAGGAACGCAGCTGTGCATTCACCTAGAACCATCTCTCGGGAACTTCGTGTTCTATTGTAGGAGACTGTACAGGCTGATAATTAGGGGTGGGAGGGAGGTGAAGAGAGCCTCTATCAAGACAAGCAGAATCCAACTTTGACCCCATCCTTAGGGTGAGGTGGCAGAGAAAATGCAGCAATGCTGAAAGTACACATGTGCTTCCTTCATCGGACCCGCTGTGGGTGAACCGTGCCTTCCCCGGAAATGCAAAGGGAAGCAGCTCAACAGTGAGCCCATGAACTCATTTCCCCTAAACCTGTCCTATTGTAAGATACACCCCACCCCCATGAAAAGGGACACACTGAGAAAGGAAACGTATCTAAAGGACTTGGTATTAAGGCTATTAAAAATCTACTAATACCCTCCACATGGAGCTCTTCTTGGAGGCCTGATCATTACTGCTGCCACAGATCAGAAATCCCCATCCCCCAAGGGCCAGCGAGAAGTCCAAAAGGAGACACAGGGCTGCAGCCAGAACCATTTCAGAAAGCAGAGCAAACTGCCCAAATTCAGACGCTGAGACCCCGGCATAGCTGCTGCCATCAGCCACCAGACAGGATATGGAGGCAGGTGAGAAAGTAGGGGGATGGAGCCAGTTGAAATGTCAAAAAAGTTCCCGATCCCACACCTGATTTCCCACGTAGGGGTACCGCCCATATGCATTCACAGTACTTCTTGCACTCTGTTGAGGTGAGTTACTTGTTATAGTTTGTTTCATGCAACTATCCCCAAGCCTCAGGGGGCACTCACTGGAATGCAGATTCCCAGGGCTTGCTCTGAAATGGCTGTTCTATGAGGTCTAGGATAGTGCCAGGGAGCCTGCACTTTCTAAAGCTTTCCACATTTGCTTACATCATCAGCCTGGATTTGATCCAAGGATGGTATGAAGATGCCAATTTACTAGCCTGAGGGCTTCTTAAAGTCATGGACCACAGCCTTCTTAATGCCCAGTATAGCGTATGTCCCCAGCACATAGATTGTTGGGTGAAGAGAGTCCCGGAGGGCAGGGACATCTTCCCCTGGTCTCCACCCGAGGAGGCTGCCTGATACTTTTATCCTTCCATGAAACCCGCCATTTGCCACAGCCCCTGCTGCCACCCTGGCTGCGGGTGCCATACCGTAGGGGATTGCCTTGTCTTACCTCTGCCCCAGGCCCCCTCAATATTCCCACGTTTCACTCGCCTGTGATGCTTTGGCCCAGAATACGATTTGCCCAGGCGGCAGTTTCCTGCCTCTTCCGCCCCACCAAGAATGGCTCCATCTTTCCTTCAGACGTGCTATGCCCTGGATACTAGGGCAGAGGGGTCTGTGCGTCAACTCAGGGTTCAAGCTGAACAGCATCATTGAACGCTCTGTCATCCTTAGTTTGCCAGTTATAGCAGGTGAATGCACAGTGTCCAAGGTTTTCCCCAACAGGAAGCTGAGTGATGACCGTGACTGCTGTGGGAACGTGGTCAGGAAGAGGAAGAAGGGTAATGTCCTGCCTGGGAGGTCAGCACCACCCTTCCATACACACACACGTGCTTCCTTCACCGGACCCACTGTGGGTGACCCACACTTTCCCCCGAGATGTAAAGGGAAGCAGCTCAACAGCCAGCCCATGAAGTCATTTCCCTCCCAAACCCGTCTTATCATAATATACACCCCTCTCCTCTCATGAAAAAGGACACACTGAGAAAGAACACACCTCTAGAAAACCAGAATCATCCTGAAGGCTGTTTAAAGGACAGTTTGGCACATAATAAACTTTTGTTCATGGGTGTTTTTTGCTAATGTCCTATTGCGACGAGTTGACAACTATCCTCTAAATTTCATAAATACGGTCCCCATCTGCCCTCTACAGAGGATGACAGCTAAATTGGGCCATGTGTTTCTCTGGAGTCTCTTAGGTCCTAATGTGTTTCTGAGCACACAGAACACATGCCAGTTGAAGAAATGCATGTCAAGCTGTGACGATGTGGTTGTCAACTGTTAAGATGTGCATGAAGCCATCAGAATTTAGCATGACATCCAAGTCTGTAGCAAATGCTTGACTTTCTACTATAACATCAGGGAGAAGATCTTGGGGTGAGGGTGGGGCTGTGTGTGGCACGTTTCATCCTCATTTCTGATGTTCTCTCCATCTGGGTGGTGCTTCAGGAGCTCCTGGGCTTTTTCTCTGAGACAGAGTCTCGCTCTGTCGCCAGGCTGGAGTGCTGTGGTGCAATCTCAGCTCACTGCAACCTCTGACTCCCGGGTTCAAGTGATTCTCCTGCCTCAGCCTCCTGAGTAGCTGGGATTACAGGTGCCCAGCACCACACCCAGCTAATTTTTGTTGTATTTTTAGTAGAGACAGGGTTTCACCATGTTGGTCAGGATGGTCTCGATCTCCTGACGTGATCCGCCCGCCTCAGCCTCCCGAAGTGCTGGGATTACAGAAGTGAGCCACCACGCCAAGCCTCCTAGTTTCTCTTTAAGCCCCATATACATACTCTCTTAGGGGCAGAACTCAGGAATTAGACTGACATGCATAGGAAGGGAAAACCAGGCAGGCATGATCTGGCTGCACTCTTGCTTTTGAGGCAGACAGCTGCCCACCGGTAGCACCCACTTTGTTTCCCCGTTGCATGTGCAAGGTCTGGCTCCCATGTGGGAAGCACTGCTCAGGCCGGCCTGCTGCCTAGGAAGGTTCTGATTCTGAGTTTGGTATTAGGACGCCTATGTGTCCAGACATAAGACACAATCTCTGATGGCAGCTTTATCAGCAATAAAGATGAGTTTCATCTCCCTCTGCCTTCCTGCTTGGTTTCAAATTCTTAAACTGGGCAGAAGCTGGCCAGGTTCGAGGGTTTCATTGCCCTTTCCCCAAGCCTCCACGTCTGGGGGGTTGGCTCAGGGACATGACACTTGAGGAACAAAATGACCCCTGGTGGCTTCTGGCAGATGCGGCACTGGGTGTGGGCCATCGGTTTCTCACGTGGCTGTTCGCAGCACAGCGTTCTGTGCCACAGTTCGCTTTGGCGGTCTTGCAGGTGGCCTTTCTCGTGGCCTGGTGAGCAGCTTTAGTGCACTTTTTACTTTGGCAGCTGACTCAGCCGCAGACCATTTTGCCACAGGTGAGTGGCTCTTTCTGGGACATCACTGGGCCTGCAAGCACCAGGCCCAGACATGCAGGCTCAGGCCTCCGCATGCACAGAGGCTGCATGGCCTCAGCAAGGCGGTCTTAGCCTAACCGTGGGGGAGGGGGGAGTTTAGGGATCAGGCATCACACTTGCCCCTCACCGGATGTAATGAGGCAGAGTCAACTGTAGGAGAAGGAGAGTCTTTACGTTTATATGCTTTTTTTAGCATCAGGGTAGAACCATATTGCAAGGCAGCATGCTCTGTACACACAGCATAGTGGGGTTTAGCTTTGAAGTATCATTGCCTGGTCCCTTCAGGTACTTTGTCAGCTGCTGCAAATTCTGTACTCAAGGCCAGAGGGAAATTGAGGAGCGGCAAAGTCTGGGCTCAGGAAGCTCATTCACAGGTTTGACAGTCTCCCTAGACTACAGGGCCTCAAGTAGGCTCTGGATCTCTGGGTTCTCTCAGACGCCACTGGGGCTGTGCTCCAGGCTGCAGTTAAGGAAGGACAGCTGTGCAAAGCTAACTACTCCAGCGGGTGGGGAAAAAAGTTTTCTAAATTTGGAGGTGGAACCATCAGTGTATACTGAATTCTCAATACAAAGAACATAGAGGAAATTCTACATTTTGATTTGTTTTTTTTTTTTTTTTTGAGATGGAGTCTCACTGTCACCCAGGCTGGAGTGTGGTGGCACAATCTCGGCTCACTGCAACCTCCACCTGCAGGGTTCAAGCAATTCTCTTGCCTCAGCCTCCTGAGTAGCTGGGACTACAGGTGCCCACCACCATACCTGGCTAATTTTTGTTGTTGTTGTTGTATTTTTAGTAGAGATGGGGTTTCATTATCTTGGCCAGGCTGGTCTTGAACTTTTGACCTTGTGATTTGCCTGTCTTGGCCTCCCAAAGTGCTGGGATTACAGGCATGAGCCACCGCGCTTGGTCTACATTTTTTAAAGAAGGGAAATGAAAGAGAAGATGATCCACTATTATCCTTTCTTTTCTCCAAGTGATAACCGCTACCCAGCCTGATTGTTCTGAACTGGATGTTGTACACAATTCACCTGAGCACTGAGCTATCTCCCATGCCATCTTTGCAGTCCTCAGCATTGCAGCAGCCATATACAGGAGAAAAGCAGGGAAAACACATGCACATGTGGTTTCTGCTAAAAGAAGTTAATCGATGAAAAACTGATTTGTAACTTCATATACAATTGGCACTCTCACATATATAAGCATTATTGTCTAGAGGTGTTCATTACCTCCCAAGGGTACCTCCTCTCATCTGACCTAATGGTGGGAAAATATGCTCAAACTTGACCATCTAAGGCAACTCTCCTGTGATTCTCAGTGTACCCTCCTCCAGCAGTAGCCCTCTTCCTTCAAGCGTAAAAGCTACAAATGAGTTATCTGTACTCACTGTCTTCATCTCTTCCCCAACTCGCTCCAATCTAGTGTCTTCCCTGCTTCACCACACACAGCCCCTCAACCAAAACAGTTCTCTGTAATATGATGCTGCTTAACCCAACTGGTATTTATCAGTCTGCATGTAACTTCTTGGCAGCAGCTGATACTTCTGGCCACTGTTTTCCTCTTTAAGCACTATCCTCCCTTAAAGACCATGGCCCCTTAGAATCCTGGTTTTCCTCCTCCCTGTACCAACATCTCTCTTCCATCTCCTTGGTAGGATCAGCCAATGACTCATTTATATTTTCAGCCCAAACTTTTGAGCACCAGACCAGTATATCCAAGTGACTATTTGATAGCTCAGCTTTGAGATTTCACAGGAAACTGAAATGTAATATACCCAAAATGAAACACAACTTCCCTCCCAAATTGGGCCCTCTTTCAAGGAATGTCACCATCATTTGTGGTGTTCTGCCAACCAGAAATTTCAGAGCCATCCTTTCCACCTTTTTTCCATCACTCCACATATTCAAATCATTACCACCTCTAGTCAATGTCTTTACTTCTTAACTCACTCGCACGCCACTTACTTTTCTCCATCTCTACCCTGGTCATCTTTCATCTGTACTAGTGGAATATTCTTCTACCTGTTCTCTGGAGGGGAGCAGGACTATCATGCCATGATCATTCAAATGGCAGACCTGATTTCACCCTATCCTTATCCCATCAGCTGAAAACTCTCCCATGGCTTTTCATTTCTTCTAGGACAAGGATCACACCTGTATGTCACCTGGCCTCCAGCACCCACACATGTGCCCATCCTGGCCCCCTTGCTGACCTTGGCCTTCTCTCCCACACCATGCCAGATGCATCACTCCTCTCCAAGTCCCTCCAGAGCTCATTGTCTCTCCACATCGCTTTTCTGCTCCCACCTCAGTTCCTGCTCACCCGTTAGACCTTAGTGTGGCGATCACCTCCGGACAATGTCTGCTTGCATTTTTTTTTCCTTTTTGGCATTTATAATTTACAATTAATATCTGGCTTATAGCCATCTCTCCTCCTAGTCTAGTTTAGGATCTTGACGGGGTGGTGGGGAAAGCGCATGTGTTTTTTTGCCCACATCAAATTCCCACAGCCTGAAACAGTACCCGGCACAGAGTATATACTCAATGAATGCTTGCTGAATGACTGAATGGACAACTATAGTGCCCTGAGGACTCTGGTGTCGTTAGTGTGGGTGATATTTCTATCACAGCTGTTGCAATTTTTGAAAGTATGCTATTGCTTATAATTAGGGAAAGAAGCAAGCCTGTAATTATGAAATCATTCCCATGGGAAAACATGATCTGCTTTATGATAACTACTTTATTTTACAGATGCTTCAAAGAGAACACTTTGGTGAAAGAGAGCTGCCTGTATTTCTCCCTCATGTACATTTAATAACCACATCTTCTCTACCCTGAGAAAGGCTGTATTGCTGAGCATAGCCATGAAGTTCAAGGAATTTAACAAATAGCTAAATATCTCTTTGTGGCTTAATATTCATTATATGAGGAAAATCTAGGTTAAATTATATTAAAAATGGTTATTAAGAACAGAGCAACTTAGAAATAAAGTCAAGGCAATGGAGCTTTCTCATGTCACACCCTTAAAATCCTACAAACATGATTTCTGTATGTATTTTCTCCTCTATAGCAAAGCAAGGCAAGGCTACCTTACATCATTACGGCACTTCCACTCACATACACAATTTAATAAAAGTTTAAAAATTTTGTAGAAAACTACTCATTAATATTTCTTCAGAGATTACTCATTTCTCAGTAACAAAAGGTAATGAATTTAGACTGATTTCTAGTTTATAATTATTTGATATTCAGAGATTTCAGGTTTTAAAACTGCAATATCATTGATACCTTAGATGATAAAACCCAGGTTTTCTAATCATATTTAAAAAGCACCTAGAAATATTTTGTCTATAATTCACATATTCATTTACTCATGATTGGTTAGAACCAATTCCTAACACCTCGCGATTTGGCCATTGGAAGTAACTATCTTTAACAAAGCCTTTGTTATTTGTAATAAACCCTGAAACGTGAACAGTATAAAATTTTAGAACTCTATGTTAGATTGGTACAGAACCTTAAGCCAGAGAGTGTTCCAACATTTCTTTCTCTATTACAAAGAGTATGTGGATTAATTACAAGGTGCTGACTGACCTGAATTGTCTTTATCCCTGCCTGAACAAAATTAATTCCTACCATTTACATCTATTAGATTAGGTCAAGATGGGTAATTAAGGATGAACCTAATATAAAAACTTCTGCTTACTAGGGCATCTGAAGTTAATACAGGTCTATAGAAATGATTCCTGTTTATATATTAATGGCACAGAAAGTTAGATTTCTCCCTGCTTGCTTTGTAGAATTATGAAAGCTATTCAGGCACTGCTTAAATTTAGGTGTTCAATGGAAATAGTTTCTTTTTTTTTTTTTTTTGAGATGGAGCTTCGCTCTTGTTGCCCAGACTGGAGTGCAATGACATGATCTTGGCTCACGGCAACCTCGACCTCCCAGGTTCAAGCAATTCTCCTGCCTCAGCCTCCTGAGTAGCTGGGATTACAGGCATATGCCACCATGCCTGGCCAGGAATAGTTTTAAAACACTCAACTATGGTGGAGGGGCATGGGTGGGCCCAGGAGAGATGCTGATCAAGTGGTCTGAAGTTTCACTGAGACGGAAGGAGCTGGCTCTGGTGATCCATTACACAGCATGGTGACTGTAGTTAATGATAATGTATTATATATTTCAAAAGGGCTAAAAGAATGGATTTTAAGTGTTCTGACCACAAAGAACAGCCTGATTTGATCATTTCACAATGTGTGTGTGTGTATGCATCAAAACATCACATTGTATCCCATAAATATATGCAATTATTATCAGTTTAAAATGACACTAAAAAACACTATAAAAAGTGAGGGAACACATTTACCTTTTTTGCTGCGTTTTGTCTTTATGCATCAGATAATACTTGTACCAACTTCTTTTTAATTTTTTTTTTAGAGACAGGGTCTCACTCTGTCACTCAGGCTGAAGGTCAGTGGTGTGATTACAGGTCACTGTAACCTTGAACTCTGGCCTCAAGTGATCTTTCCTACTCAATCTCCCAAGTAGCTGAGACTACAGGTGTGCACCACCGTGTCTAGCTAATTAAAAAAATTTTTTTTGTAGAGATGGGGTTTCACTATGTTGCTCAGGCTGGCCTTGAACTCCTGGCCTCAAGTGATCCTCTTGCCTCAGCCTCCCAAAGCACTGACAGCATTCTACACAAGTGGTATGTATCAAGTGTTGTGAACATAAGTGGGCCCCCAACTGAGTCTTGTGTCTGCATGTGTCAGGAAGGGGCCTATATCATGAAGATGTATGTCCCTAGAAGGGATGACATATGAATTGAGTCCTAGCATTTTGGGAGGCTGAAGCAGGCAGATCACTTGAGGTCAGGAGTTTGAAACCAGCCTGGCCAACACAGCAAAACTCCATCTCTACTAAAATTACAAAAATTAGCCAAGTTTGGTGGTAGGTGCCTGTAATCCCAGCTACTCAGGAGGCTGAGGCAGGAGAATCTCTTGAACCCAGGCAGTGGAGGTTGCAATGAGTTGAGATCACACCACTGCATTCCATCTCGAGTGACAGAGTGAGACTCCATGGGGGGGGAAAAAAAGAAGTGTTTGAGGTGTAATCTGGCATTAAGTAACTTGAAATAAAAGTGAAACTCAGGTGCCATAAATGTAGGTTTACAATAACTGATAATGCTTTAAACCTGGCCAGCTTTCATTTAGGTGGATATAATTCTCAGAAGAGCTCATATCACTCCCTGATTGCAGGCTAATTCTCAAAAAGTCAGAGAGAGAGCTGCTTGGCCTCTGAGGTCATCGTTTGTCATGAACAGTAGAGTAAAAGAGCAATTCTCCAAATTCCTTAAGAGATGAGAAGTTCTGCCTAACTGAACTTTCAGGTAACTTTGGGGTTAACAATAAAAACCTCTTTCACTGCTTGTTAATTTTTTTTCCTAAACTGGGTCATGCACATCCCTACCTTGATAGGTAAGGACAGTATCCAAGCTGTAATTGAATCTTCCCTGATGATTCAGATTGTTGCCCTGCCTCAGGGTCCAATCTATAACAGGAAGCATGACACCAGACTAGGAAGAAGGTGGAGGAGCTGGGATTAATAAACACTGATAGGCTGACGCACATTCAAAGATTCTTTTTTTTCCTTAAATAAATTCTTCATGTCTCTGTACTTGTGTTTGTCGTGGAGAAGGAGGGTCAGGTTCTCTTCTATAAATGAGCTTAGAAAAAAACAGTTCATAGGCTGAGCGTGCTGGCACATGCCCATAATTTCAGCACTTTGGGAGGCCAAAGTGGGCGGAATGCTTGAGCCCATGAGTTCGAGACCAGCCTGTGGCAACATAGCAAAACCCCATCTCTACAAAAAAAATTAGCCGGGCATGGTGGTGCACGCCTGTAGTCCCAGCTACTTGGGAGACTGAGATGGGAGAATCACCTAAGCCAAAGAGGTTGAGGCTGCAGTGAGCCGTGATTGTGCCACTGCACTCCAGCCTGGGCGACAGAGTAAGACCCTGTCTCTAAAAACAACAACAAAAAGTTCATTAAGGGCATTGGGTTTCCTGAGCTGTACTTGGCTACAGGTGCACACAATGCTGTAGAATCTGGTGAGCTGAGACGTGCTCTTGAATATATTTAAGGATTCAAAAGCAAGCATTGCCTATAGACGGGCAGAGGAAAATGAACTTTGTCTACCAGGATCTTCAGTTAAACACCTAGGGATCCTTCCATATCTGTCTTAGGGGCTGGGTTAGCTATGGCTCTGCAGAGGTCACAGATTACACAAAATATTTTAAAGTAACGCTGTGCTAGAAGAGATGTGTATTTGCTTGAAGACAGAAAAATCTTTTACTAGAAGGAAGCGTACCTTAAAAGTTTTATTTTGGAACTTGTATGCATGATGATTTGCCCTTTTAGAGCTAAAGGTTAATTTTCCATGGCATAAGAACTGCAGATCAGTGCCAAAATTCAATTCCCAGACCTAAATTATATAATCAGAAATAGGGCATCCAAACTGAACATCAAATAGTCTCGCTTTCTGGCCGACTATGAGAAAAATCAGTTTCAATGTTTGAAGTAGGTATTTGTTTATGTAATGCAACCAACCATGACTGCCAAACACAGTAATTAAATGCTTTACAAGGGAGAAATCTTGCCAGAATATGCAATTTGAGGGGGGAAATAAGCAGAGAGCTGATATGTGGTAGAAAACGCTGAATTATTTATTTCATTCTGCTCAGAAGTAGACATTCATGCTTTGAGTCTACCTACAGAAATACTGAAAGAGAAAGGAGAACATCAGAAGGGGGTAGTTACTTTATTCAACGTTATCTTTTTTAATCTATAAATGGTACACTTTCTTCTCATGCAAACTTGAAAAATGAGGACTTCTCATCTGTCTGTCATTTCAAAATCACCTGCGTGGGAATGAAGTTAAACATTTACAAATAAACAATAGATAATTGTATTTTTCTTTTTCCATTCATTTAATCATCAACGGATTTTTTTCTCTCCTCTGATTTCATCTAAATCCTCCTACTGGTGAAACACAGCATCGATTTAATATAGGCTAATACTTAGAATGAGCAACTAAATCTTTTCAGAGAATTCCACTTCTAAGACAATTCTGAAATCATCCTTAATCTCGATGTTCACTCATCTCCATGATCAAATAATATAAATGGTGTCTGGCTTCCCCCAGGAACTTATGGGAACATAGAGGAAAACAGAGGAGGTAGCAATTGCTAGACTTTGTACAGAACTCACAAGCGCCTAGTAGCATTAATTTATTCATGTTGACATCCATGGAATCAGGCTCTGATTTTCTCTACAGTATAGAGAGAATCCAAGCAGAGGGAGTACTAGCACAGCAGATAAAAGGTAAGTTAGGTGGGGGAAATATTGGGATTAAGTCTTATGCTATCATTTTCCTTTTCCATTACCCACATAGTGGTTCTTTGATATCATCTGCACATTTTTTTGTGTCCTGGAGAATAACTTCTATTATTAACAGGGACCCCTTGGCTCAAGGGACCATCAGCTTTTGAATGGCCTGCAGCACAAAGCTCCTAACATGTCACCCCTTTACCATGCCACTTTCTGCATTATTCATTCTCGCCCAATAGCTAGTGAATCTTCAGAAAGCTGGACTGGATTACATCACCCTCCTGCTTAAGACCTATAAATATAGTCCCATTGCATTTAGAATAAAAGCCAAACTCCTTAAGATGGTCTGCAAGGCTGTGCATGATCTAGTCCTCATCTCTCTCTCCAGCCCCAACTGCTCACTAGCCTCCAGCCTCTCTGGTTTTCCGTTCATTCACGTCCCAACTTCAGATAGGCCTTTCCTAATCTCCTCCTACGACTAAAATGTGATCTCTTAGAGCATCCTGGTCTCTTCATTCATAGCACTGACCACAATTTAAAATAATATACTTATGTTTTTTAAAACTGTTATCTTTTAGCTCTGCTAGACTCTAAGCTTCTGCAGCTGTCACTTCCAATGTAACCACTGTCTCCTCGATGGTCACTACAGTGCCCAGCATATGGAGTCCTTCCACAGACACTGCTGAGAGTGAGCAAGTGACTTCTGACTTGACCAATTCCTCAATAGTCTGCGGTTTTGGTTCCTTCATAGGAATGGCTCACCCCCTTCCTCTCTACAGGAACATTCTAAGATGAAGGAAAAAGAAGCAACATAT